TTATTTCAACAAAAACTTGTACATATGTATTCACCATTCTCAAATAACGAAAGAGCGCATAGTCACAAAAATGACCTCAAATATGTAATATTTCATAGCATGCAACATATTGTGGCTGTCACGACCAACCATAACTACAAGCAAAAACTTTTTCCACACGTGCCATTCGTTAAGAGTAACTATGTTTTAGAAACCAAAAACTGCTTAGCCCCTGACAAGTGCTTAGAGATATCAAGCGGAGATAACGCATGTGTAGACTTAAAAGCAGTTCTTTGTTGTATGAGGTTTTGTCTGTATAAAAGCTGGCACTGTAGTTGGTGTGGATGCAGTTGTGAGCTTTAAAACGTCCATTAACCGAAACAGAAATATTCGTACACAAGAATCCGGCAAACAAATACTTGCATCACTTGCGGTATTCGCGTTACGTTTTTTTTTCAATAGCGAAGCACATCTCACAAAAAATAAAATTGTTGGAAAAGGATTTCCTGTACGTGCAAGCACGAAACAGGATACGCACGAAAAATAGTGAATTGAGTTAGGGAAATAAACTGAACGTGATGCATGCATGCCAGCAAGCTTTTATGATTAATATACATTTTATTTGTGTTTCCATTTGAACGTGCAATAAATAGTTGTTTCAAACCTACAAAACAGAAAACACACGCGTATATGAGTTACAATGGTTAGACTTTGATATGAAAAATGTTACTTTTAAGTCACTTGAAGAAAAATAAGAGAAGCCACTTTCGTTATAATGCTGCCTCCTTCCCAGTTTCGGATAGCTCGTGAACAGTTGACCAAAAACTGGTAACCATTGACTGTGCGTGTTCGATGATTTACAGCCAAAGGGTCCACATTTTGGGCTGCATTAGACAGGAATCTTCCTGATATTAGGCCGCACCAGGGAGCAACGGTGGGCTTACTACCACTTATACCTAAGATCACTTAGGTCGACCACGACGGGCAGGGGTTAGAACGAACAAAAACAAGAACACACAGTCATGGAGGGGCAGCACGCCAGAGTTCAGTGCCGCTCAGCTCAGTAAAATAGTCCCATTGCAAACCAGAGCCATTATTAAACGCATAACAGCCCAAAATATAAGGAAATTGAGCATTGGGAATGGGTGAGTGAAATGGTGAAGAAAGTTCGGAAGCACTTGGATAACGAGCATCACGGGTCCAAGGATCAAAAATACTGCAAAGCATGTACTAAATTTCCACAGCCAAGGATGTAATACTCGCCTTAAGAATGGATCCCGCGCACGGTAAAGTCGGAGGATGTCCTGCGAAAGGATTGGAAGGTACTACACGTATCCAAGCAGATGATGGAAGATCAGAAATACATCTGCGCATCAAGGGAACATGGACTGGAGAGCACATTAAAGTCCCAAATTTAGAGAAGGGACCAGCCGGTAATGATAGCAAAAAAAAAAATTAATAATCGATTAAACGGTTAATTGACTAATCAGAAGCATTCGATCATAAATCGCAATTAATCGTAGGAGATTAGCCGAATAATCGGTAATAACCATTTATTAAATAATAAAAAAATGGGCCGTTTTGGTAAAGGATGCATACATACTGACAAGCTTAAGCAATTTAGTTTTTGTTATATAATTTTAGTTTATTAAAAGCTATAGGTACTTTATTCTATAACAAAAACCGTATAAATCCAAGTTTGAAACTTTGTGTAATGTAAAAAAAAAAATCCAAAAAACTTTCGGAAAAATTTAGAGCTTTTTAATTCGATTTCTTAGTAAGATTATGAGTGTGCAGTTTTGTAGTCCATTCAATTCTAGTAAAACAGAAATCAAAGTAGCTAGTATTTTTTTGCTGGTGATGTTGCGCATCTTTCTCCATACAAAGAATGTGCGACAAATTTTTTTGTTTATACGAAAGAAAATTCAATAAAAAGATTGCCAAAATCAACGATAAGTCTAGCTATTATTAGGTGGTTGCAGCGCAAATTTTTGATTATGTAATTTAGCTTCGTACGATTTTGCGTGAGTTAAGAGTAAAATTTTGATGATTTGTTTTCGAATATCTAAAAAATTAATATATTAATAGTTCGATTAATCGAAAGGACTATATCGATACAATTAAATCGTTAGCCAAAATAAAATAACCGATTATAACAGGTTTTTCGATTAGTCGTGTCATCACTAATCAAACATAACACAACGACAACACTATAGGGGTCTTCACACCAAGCTTGGTACTCGGTTACACGGTGTTCGGTAATTTTTCCCATGTATTATGTTTGTGTAAAATTATTTTATTATCGGTGTACTGCTTACCGAGTTATCGTGGTGGAAGCTTGATAATTTTTCTGGTGGTTGGTGAACTACGATCAGCTGTTCAAAACATAGCTGCGAATCATCATAGTTTACCAGACAAACGAAATAAATCTGAGAAGGACGTTCACAGTTGATAGAATTACCGAGTGCCAACTAGCAGTTTACCAAAACTACCGAAAGCGATTGCCATGCGATTTATCACCGGCCTGGGAATAGGGCTGTTTGTTATGGTTTTAATTGTCCAAATATTTATTAACATTGCGTTTTTTAGATTTAATCATACAATTAATAAGCTACTACGCTGCGAGGACAATTTTTGTTTAGTGGGTTATGCGAAAGCATACATATCGAGACACATGTCTATCAATTTCAGCATCCTGAATATTTATTTATGTGTACGCAAACGCAAAGCAAATGCTCAAAGGCATTAAAGAAGATATGTATGAACTTATAATTTTATTGCTAAAATTGCAATGCCATTCGTGTTAAATTTTATATACGCATAGATATGCTTCTGAGCTTTTGCATATTCGTACACGCACATACAGTAAGTGGAAAAATGCAGTTTTACATGTAGGCGTAGAAAATCTAATTATTGAGCTGGTGTTCGATATACGATGATGTACATACCCAGCAAAAAACACGATTACCACAGGAACGAAAGTAGAAACGAGCTAGGCGACGGGAATCGCTTACCCTTTCGCTTCAAGAAGGCCTTATTTTAACATGGGCATGTCATTGGAGGTAAGCCCTTACCCGCAGCATTACCTTCAAACGAAGGGAGAACGCATGGATAAACAGAATCCAGAGAAGCGAACAAAGAATGCCTTACAGAGAAACTAATGTAGACTGCCTAGATAAGTACATACTTATTTATATTAAATTTAAATCAGAAAATGTTTTAAAAGATTAAAATTAATTAAAATTTTTATAAATCAGCTTTTATACAAACATATGTATGTATGTATTTAGGTATTTGGATTTTCTTAAAAATCGGTATGTACATACATTCATTATTAATTAAGCTTAAAATTGTACTTCCTCACTCTTGTACTTCACTTCATCGACTGACTTCAACTTCGCTGCAAATTGAACAAAGCAAAACATGATTTTTATGCGAGACAAATTTCCACAGAAAGTAACGGTAGAAAAAGAACTTTTGGATATTCATTCTATTTTTCAGCTGACTACGATGCAGCATTCTACTTTGCATTCCCGGAAATGAAGCAAAGAAGCGAAACAAATAAAATATTGTAGGACATTATACTTTGCTTTCCCGGAAATGAAGCAAAGAAACGAATTAAAAAGGAAATATTATAGGACATTCTACTTTGCACTCCCCGAAATGAAACAAAGAAGCGAAATAAATAAAATATTGTAGGACATTCTACTTTGCAATACTAGCAATGCATAAAAGAAGCGAAAAAATTCGAAGGCATTATAACGCTATGCCTTCTAGAACACGTTACCACTAAAAGCGATTACCCATTTTTTGCTGGGTATGTACGTGCTCTTTTCATATATAAATATCGTTACCTTAATATAAGTATGAAAATAGTGCGACAGGCCTCATCTAAAATTTTGGTGGTTTTACAGAGTTATTACTAGACTTTATAAGAACTCAATTTCTTTAAAATGCTGAAAATTATTTAGGGAGTGTTCAGTGGCTCAGCCAATGATCAAATGAATGAAATTGGAAACGACAGAAGCCTGTTTATATGAGTTTAAAGGGGTGACACTGAATGCGTAGTGAAATTACCCTGCATTCTTAATTTGGATCCAAAGAAAAATTAGTATTGTTTGCCTAATCTGGTTAGAGTTTTGTAGTCGTCCACAAGCTTTCATGTTCAGGTTTTGAATAAGCCTGAGGCTTTTACACTGGCTTTTAATACGAAGAGATTCGAGGGCGCAGATTTCATTGTACAGATCACCGCCTCAAAGACAGTTGGATATGTAGCCATTCGATTTTTTTGAAACTTTCCTAGATCAAAGGTCAACAGGTATATCCGACTTGGGAAATTAATTTTCTGTAAATGTCCCTTTCAGGAATTATTACCCCGTAGGTCTTATTTTGAATAATAATTTCTATGGCATTTTGTCTGTGAGTTTGAAGACGGGAAGAACGTATTTTTGTCCAGGTTTATAACTAGATATTTCGCCTCTTGCGATAACTCAATACCCTTCCCTCCCAGTGTAGGTTTAGTCAAATTGACTTTTCTTCTTTTAGTGAAGGGGCGATGGTTGACTTTAGAGGGTTTATTGGAAGTCGCTGTTCAGAGCACCTTTTCTCAGTTACTTTTATGGATGCCTGGTGTCTCCCTGCCAGCCCAATACCAATATGATCAGATCATCTGCATAGCCAAAAGCGTTGATTCCTATGCATTTAAAGCTTTCTAGGAGCTCATCTACAACCAGTGTGCAGAACAAAAAGTATGGAACATAACCGCTGTAGAAGAACAATTTGATTTAAAGTCGTTAGCTTATAGGTACACTTCTCAAATAATGGCGGATTTGAAGGATCACATATGCTCTGAGTTTATTTTTTTTTTGTTGAAAATTTTCTTTAACACTTTATTTTAGTTGCATTTCGCCTACGATAATTTTATTTTGCCACCTACTATACTATACATATACATATATTCATACATACCTACATATCATACATCTTTATATACCTTAAAGCTATACTCTTTGCATGCATACCTTTGTACAGCCAGCGCCAAGGTCAGCCAAATGGACGCCGTGTGACATACAGCTGGCATAAGCTGAAAAGATAATAAAACAAGTGAAAGTCAGTATTGCAAAAAAACAAGCCAGCTACAACAATAAAAATACAAAATAAATTCTCAATGCATGGGTGGCGCGTAGGAAAAAATGAATTGGAACACGAAACACGATTTCATTGCTGGTGCAAACGAATGCACATTTGTATGGAAGTTTATGCATGCAGTAAAAGTGAGTATAAAAATGCATTATGTTTACATAAGGGTGTTTATTTACACAGAAGAAAAAAGCGAAAACGGGAAAAGCACATACAACTATGTATATATAAATATGTATAAATATAACAATCAGGTAAATCAAATATTTGCAGTGTTGTTCGATGAAGTTTGCAAATAACGGTGTATGTATATTTAAATGTAACAAAAGTTGTCTCAACAGTTGAAAGAGGGTTTGTTTATTTTCACGACTTTATCACTTACGTGCACATTAGGGTGGCCCAAAAACGGCAAAGTCGGAATTTTAATGCTCTCACCCCCTAGGATTGCTCTATATCGAAAAAAGTATACCCCTATTTTTTATTTTGAAATCAAGGATATTTTTAAATTTGGAAAAATAAAATTTTTCGTAGAAATGGTATAGAATTCTTGAAAATCAATATTTTTCGATCGGAAAACTCCGATTCTCTTCAGGATACTTTCCATAATAATACCCAATTGCTTATTTAACCATTTTTTAATACTAAGGATTTTTTATTTGTCGCCCCATAGCATTTTTCGGGGTTTTTTTGGATTTTTGGCGGATCTATGATTTATAGTTGCGATGAAAAAATGGTTAAATAAACAATTGGGTATTATTATTGGGAATCTCCTTTTCTGGTAGAAAAATATTGATTTTTAACTACTCTATACCATTTCTAAGAAAAGATGTTTTTTCCCCATATGAAGTACAAGGAAAACTTTTTGCGCTTTGAGCGACCTCTAAATATTATTTGATTTCAAAAAAAAAATAGATAAGGATATACTTTTTTCGGTATAGGACTATCCTAGGGGGTGAGAGCATAAAAATTCCGACTTTACTTTTCACATATATTTTTGGACCACCCTAATGCACATACATAATATGCACATTTATATAAAGGATATTTTTGCTGAACATTTTCTGTTTGCAGCCAGCGAGATATACATACACCCCGCGACAAAAGCGCAAAACTTCCCAGGTTTTCCTAATCTTTAAAAAATGTTATGACAAGCTTTGGCTTACATCATCCTAAATTCAATGGAATTACAAACTCGATGTTAACAATCTATATATTTTTTGATTAAAAGTCTATAACAAAAACTAAACTAGCATTGAAAGAAAAACATTTGTACAGGAAAACTAACTAATCTGCTTACATCTAAAACAACCCCATAGCTGCATACGATGATTACATATTTACTTTAGACTAGTTGCGGCTATTTAGCAGAAGCTTAGTTAATTGCCCCAGTCATAATTCTATTAAGTGCATAGATCCACACATCTGTATAAACCTATATAAATAGCTTCACCCACTTTCCTCAGCACTTTAAACATTTTGCTCGATGATTAAGTCAATATTAAATTTTCAGCGAAAACTAACGCCGAAGACAAAATGAGAAAAAAGAATTGTAATTACAGAGCGACAGCAGCAAAAACTTTATTTGGTGCGAGAAAATTGCTGACGCACTGCTGACTTTAGCTACTAGCGCATCAAGGATTGCATATTTCTTATGTACCCTGCAGGAAATGGGACTAGTTTGTAGCTAACTATTAACTAAGTAGCAGTCGAATAGTGGTAACTATTTACGAACCATTTCCTTTGGCTGCAACTAACTACTTTTGAAGGGCGATGTCCGCAAATTAATGAGAACTGGTTTCCCCTGCATTAGATGTCAACTAACTTGTAGCTAACTACTTTTGGATATAAACTATCAATAAAAAAAAATATTTTCCATTTTTTTATTTTTTTATTTATTTACTTATTTCATTTAACACTACATATTTGCTTGTTTGTTACATTTTCTTTTGTAGGTGGTCTCATATTTGAATTCAATCAGACATAACATCAAAGTGATAATATAAAATTTCGTCCTTCGTTTTATTTGTCCTGAATACGAAACAGAATTTGCGAAGTGCAGGAAAAAAGTGTATTGAAAGTAATTTTTGTATGAGGATATTTAAATAAAAACTTGTAAAGAAAACAAACTCCCGCTAACGTCTGCATGACTGCTGCACGACTTTACAACTAAGTTAAAGTTAGTTTTGTCATAGCTAAAGTTAGTTATTTATCGAAATCCCGCAAAAAGCTAACTAAAAGTTGGTTATTTTAATCAGTTGTTAATCAGTTTTCTGCAGGGTATGTATGTATGTATGTATTTATGTGTATACGCCAGAGCGCGCTTTTACACCTGATTGCACAAGGAAGCAGCTGTGACAATGAAAGAAATTTTCAACATTACCATTATCAGCTGGAAGTAATGAAAACGTAGCCATTGTTGTTCATGGCAACTCGATGTCGTTTTTTTTTTGTGCGCATGCTAGTTGGGTAAAATATGCGTTATATCATTGCTCTTGGGCGCAATTTCAATAAAACGAATTGCAAAAGCTGGATAGGTTATTCCGGAGTGGCTGCCTGCATTAAATTCAGAAAAGAAGCACACTTAGCCCCGGTGGGCCCCTTGCGGTATTGTGTGGCAGCTCATTTCATGCCCGTTCGCACACCTAGAAATATAATTAATTTGTTAATTAGTAAAACGCATGAACTCATGGCCGTATGCGGCATGGGAAGATGTTTGCATATGCCTGCCGAAGTGATGACTTACCGCCGACACAATCTAAAGTAGCAGCCACTGCAGATTGGGCGCAATAGGCCATATGCCCGCTTTCTTGAAAAGCTTAGAACTTTAACAGGGCGAGCCTTTGAAAATCGAATAGGCTGAATTAAATTGCTATACGCGGACTAAATTATATAAAGATATGAACTTTCTAGTAGGACAATAAAAATGGGTGACTGGGATGTAACGTGGAGCTCAGTGCTCAAACTACTTCCCGAAGAAATTCTTGGCGGTGTAACAGAGTGATTGGTACATAGACGGTAAGAGGTTTAGTGGCTAAAGTCTTACACTGACGGTTTAAAGGTTCAGCTTTCGATAAGAAATTGCGTATCGATTCGTTTCGGGCCTCTTCAATAACACCAGCAATTTCTTCTTCGGTGCGACAACTTTGCAGATGCGTTTTATGATTAAGAGTATACGTAGTACCAAAGCGATGCACCGGAAGGGAAAATATGAGGGTCGGAACCGTCTTCCCCTAGAGTTTCTAGGTAGAATAGGCAATCAGATACAAAGGGTCGAGTATGCAATCATCAATGTCTCGGTTAAGGGAGGATACTAACGAGGTCGCCGGCACCAGCAAGTGTTCATCTACCAGCTTTCCGGGACTTTCAATGGCTTCTTTTAAAAAGCTTAAATGGTAAAGTTCAGCGGCTCAAAAGACCAATTCGTTTGGAGGGCACGACTTCCGATATTTTTCAACGCTGCGGCAGTCAACGCATTTTTAAGTTATCGGTAAACCTGTTAACATGCGCGATTATGACAAACAATTGCTACGCAATGCTGTAGGGGATATTTACTATTGGAGTCGGCTAAGAGGGATGCGAGAGCGTTGGCTTCCAAAAGACAGATGTATTTTAGAAAATGGTCAACGGCAACACGCACCTACCCA